ATATATTTTTTTTTATATATATATATATATATTCCCAGAGGATATGTGTTCTCACCAGAGAGAGAAAGCAAGCACCCCCTAATGGGGTGTGGTCGTGCCATAATCCCCAGGAAATCCATCTAAATCTTAGCATCAAGATTTGGAGTATGCATGCTCGTGCACCCAGCATGTTTTTCAAGCCACCAAGGCCAGGACCTGAACTGTAGTCAGTCATGTGGGATCCAGCTCCCTAAACACAATGCTTACTAGCTGGGCTGTGGGGTCAGCCCAGTTGCAATATTAATTAATGTGATTTTTTTAAAGAACTATTTTATCAAACTTTATTTATTTATTTTAATTTGACCAAAGAGGGACAGAGCGAGAGTGAGAGCGAGAGAGAGAAAGTAAGAAAGCAAGCTGCCAACAGGCAGCACAGTGGGTACGTTGCTGGACTCCTGCATGACCAACTGCAGTTCGAGTCCTGGAGCTGGCAGCTTGAAACTCACATGGGGCATGTGTACATGTGTGCCTGAAGTCCCAAGAGTAGAATAGAGGAGAGGAGACTGCAGTGCGGCTGTCCACCCTGAGGGGTGATTTCTCATTTTCTCTCTCTGTCTTTGTATCTCTGGCAAGCATGGGTGTCCTATTGCAAAAATCTCTTTAGGGGCCTAGCAAATGGTGTGGTGGTTAAGGGTACTGGACTCCCACATGGCCGACCATGGTTTGAGTCCCAGACCTGACAATTTGCTTTCTCACTTTCTCTCTCTCTCTGTCTTTCTTTGGTCAAATTTAAAAATATGTAAATAAATAAAATTAAATAAAATAATTCTTTTAAATTAAGTAATTATTTAAAATATACCTGCTGTGTATGTATACATGTTGTATATGTGTGTGATATATAGATATAGATATATGTAAATGAATGATAATACTTTTCTCTCAATTGTTTTTAAGTTTGGTAATATAGTTATTTTTCATAAAAATATGTTCTGGTAACATACAATAGGTTTACTGTAAGTATTTTTAAAGTTTATTTCCTTTGAGAGAGAGAGGGAGGAGAGACAGACACCCTCGACTAGGTCCTTCCCCAAGTCCTGCAGCCAGCCAGGATCATGGTGCACCAACAGGCTCCGCCAGCATGCTCAGGCAGACCCTGGACATGAACACAGTGGAGCCTTCCCATACGGTCTCCAGCATCACCCAGCAGTGTCCCTACTGCCTGCACCACCATGGCTTTTTTTTTTAATTGCAAGAGAGGGCATATACTCGCCAGAGAGAGGCAGAGAAATCACCCCTGATAGAGCGTGGTCATGTTGTAGTCCCTTCTCCTTCATTTGCCCATCCTGCTGGAATTCTGGGTACACACACATATGACTGGTGTGTTTCATAAGCCACAGGGCTGGGACTCCTAACCGTGGTCAATCATGTGGGATACAACTCCCTTAACCAATCAGCAGTGGGGCTGGCCCATACGTATTTCTAAATGAATTAATATGTTTAATTTTTTACAATTAATTTTTAATATTGTAAGTAGCAACCACTAAACCTATAATAAACTAAAAAATTTTCAGGTATTCAATCTTTTTTTAAATCATTATTTATTAAATTTTATTTATCATCATTATTATTCTTTTTTCTTTTTTGGAGAGGTTTTCGCTATAGGGCATGTGCGCTCACCAGAAAGACAGAGAGTGACAGAGAGACAGAAAGCGAGAAATCACCCCCCAGGGAGGATGGCCACAATACAATCCCTTCTCTTCCACTTTCCTCTCAGGATCTTGGGCACACATGCACACACACCCAGCATGAGTTTAAGCCGCTGGGTCCGGGACTTGAAACGCAGTCGACTACATGGGAGTCCAGCAACATAGCCATTATGCTAACTGCTTGTCCCTCATTATTATTCTTTTTAGTTTGTGACAAGGCTCATGTGCTCACCAGAGAGAGAGAGAGAGAGAGAGAGAGAGAGAGAGAAAGAAAGAAAAACACAAGCTGCCAGGTCTAGGACTTGAACCATGATTAGCCATGTAGGAGTTCAGCGCTCTATCATGCCACCTGCTGGCCCCAGGTCCTCAATAATTTTTAAGAATGTAAAGTGATTCTGATACCAAAAAATTTAAGAACCACTATTCTTCATAGTTCCATAAACTTAGGCTGATCATTTATGAAAAGATAGTGCTTAGGGCCAAATCTACAGGAAGAAATGACCATTTCCTAGTTAGGATAAGCATGGAACACTGGTAGAGAGGAAATTCAGGAGCCAAAGTTAACACAATAGCTCATTTTCACAAGGGCAGGTAAGTCTATTAGATCAGGACCACTGAGTTCAAAGAGGACATGCCAAAGTCTTTTTTAGAAAGATGGACTGCATGTCTAGGTCAAGAAAGAACAAAATAGCTGAAACCCCTTTTGACTAGTGATCCTGTTTGTTCTTGATATGTGTTTCCACATAGATGAGGGAGAAACTTGGCCCCTGTGATTCACATACTACGAAAAAGAGTTGCAATCGGACCTCTCCATGTCCGCTATTTCTGCTAGGGGTGGGAGAGGAGAGCATGATAAAAAGTTAGGGCATTCCATTGCATGGTCAACTGCAGAAATTTAGCTCTATGATTGATGTGGTAACTCCTCTATTGTGTGTCTACTTTCCAGTCCACAAGTTGACAAAACTAGCCCTGAGGCTCAGGATCTTTCACTCTCGTCCACAGTCTGAGGGTAGCTAGTAGTGTAAATTTGGAATATTGTTAAAGTCTCTAAAGTTAATAAGAAATAAAAACCATGAGAAGCTGGTAGATCCATTTTAGCCTCCTGGTATCCTGAAATTCCTCTCACTGGAATGAAGAGAATCAAACTATGATCTAATTCAGTAATGGGTTGTTGGAGAATCAACTGGAACACTGTCCACCAATGCCAGCTTCTGGCAGGACCGTGGAAGACGCAAAGTCTCACCCATGAGGTCAAAGAAATAACTGATTAGAAGTGACCAGTAGGCTTTCGGATCCTTTCAATGATTGCAGAAAGCGTTCCTTCTATTTACATTGACCCAAGCCAACTTGGTCACAAATTAACAATTTATCTTCCCAGGGGCCAGCAGGTGGTGTGGTGGATAAGGGCGCTGGATTCTCACATGCCCAACCATGGTTCAAATCCTGGACCTGGTGGCTTGCTTTCTCACTTTCCCTTTCTCTGTCTCTCTCTCGTCAAATAAAGAAAAAAATAATAACAAAACCAAATGGAAATAAATCTTTAAAAAAATTATCTTCTCGAAGACTAACTACATGGGAAGAAAGTAAAGGAAAATGATTTATATAAAACTCTAGAGTCAATCTGTTTGGATCCGAAGACTCACTCTACCTGTTTTAATGACTTAGGCATATGACTCGATGTCTCAGGCCTCGTGCTCATTTTCCTCCTCTGTAAAATGGGGAGTGACAGCACTTTGTCAGGCTTATATGAGGATTATCTAAGACAGTTCGTATAAAAGATTTAACACACGACAGGGCACACACAAAGCGCCACAAAAACAGGAGTTCGGATTAGGAAGAGTCTTTGCTTCCCGTTTACATTCCCATCCGTGAGCAGTTTTTCCTGTCATCTCAGAGCATAAACCCTCTCTCTCAGGGCTGCAGAGTTCCGAGGCGTCTGGTCTTGCATATCCCTGAGTCATCTTCATTAAGATGCCGGGTTTGCAAACGCACTCCTCCTCCTATCGTTCTCTAGGGCTCCCTCTCCTGACTGCTTAGCTCTCGTGGGAGCCCAGACCTAAATTCCGTCACTGCGAGTCTCTCTCGGGGCTCGCCATCCATCTTGGAGGAATGTCCCCAGTCCCCTTGGCCCAGACACAACTTAAGAGGCGGTGACAAAACCGAGCCTTACCGGATTCGGAAGCGCCCCAACTCATGTGGGAGCGAGCCTAGGGGCGGAGCCGCGCCCCGAGGTAAGGACGAGGCTGGGGGCGGGGCTACTCTTCGTCAGAGGTGAGCGCGAGGCCGGGGGCGGGGCCACACCCGAGGTGCGCGTGCCGGGGGCTGGGCCACGCTCGAGGTGGGAGTGAGGCTGAGGGC